CGGTTCCAAAGAAAGAGTGTCTCAGACAGTCAGAGATGTCTTACCTCATTTACAGCTTTTGCCACCTCTAATTCCAAGTGTGTGTCAGACAGGCGATAACAACCTGGGACATTTTCAGCACAAAACTTTCTAATATTTCTTGCGGAAAACCCTCTCGCTTCCCCATATTCCCGTGACAGGTGTTCAGAGATAACTTCCGATGACAAGCCTTGTTTTGCCATTTCTAAAATTATGTTTGAGTAAAGTTCCAAAGCCATGACCTTCCACTACCAATCGGACTGGTGTTAGCTGCAAGCGAGATGCCGGCTGGCGCGCACCTTGCTCTAACAACTTCCGGTTTCTTACTAATTAAATAACGATTCGTTTCTGGTTTCTACGCTATAGAACTTTCTGTGTAAACGAGGAATGAAAATCAAGTCTAATTTTAAAAAGGTGTCTGACATTTTCATTAAAAGCAGATTTATTACTTACTTTATTGTTTATGGATTTTAAAATAAAAGTCCAATATTATTTAATTTTTGTTTTTTGTTTCCGTTTATAACAATAAACTTCAAATACCAAAAAGTACACGGACCTTTCCACCATAGCAGTATTAGGTAAACAAGAAGGATTACTGTAGAGTATGGTGAGTTTTAACAGTCCAAATCACCACTTCCTGCCACTATGCAAAGGTGAAGCCAAAATATCACAGATATGGGGGTGGCCATCTTGCTTCTGTTACAGATACATTTTTTATTTACCAGGCTCTGAAATAAATCATTTATTAAAAACACATTTGTCCTAAAAAATGACCACTTTTACACAAATCAGATAATATCTGCCTAAAAGGACAGGGATCTATCTTCTAACAAGCCAATAGGGGGCGATCAACTTGTGGTCAGACTTTATATACAGTCTGTCCTATAGGCTCATATTCTTATTTGGCTGTGTGCTTTTGGGGTATTGGTTCGTTGATGATGCTCTAAGAGGAGCTGTCAAGATGTGTCTTTTCCACAGTGCCAGAGAGGAGAATGCTCCCGAAGTTAGTACACCAGATGCTAGTTGGTGAAGAGAAGGTCATTGGAAATCCACTGTAATTCACTGGAGTTTGAATTTTCTTTTCCTCCCAGTAATGAGCCTGAAAAAGAGAATATAGTGTATACATGTGTAAAATCGAGCTCGACACTATGTCTCCTGAGCTGTGTCAGTGGATCGGTTTTGGCCAGTGGCATCACAGCTTACAGTTTTGTTGTTTCTGTTTCAGGCTTTGTGAGTGACTTATAAGTTCACAAATTTTCACTGATGAATACTTTAAAAAATAAAACTGATGTGCAACATCAGTTTGAAGATGATTTCCACTTTAAGGGTCAAATCTTGAATTGGTACATATCAAATTTGAACTTCTTATTCGACTGACATGCCACTGTTAGCGCAATGCTTATTTAATTGGTTAGAAAATATGAGTAGTTAAGCACTTGGTGTAACCACTGATAAGGTGTGATGTAAAATATGATGTAAATGTAGCCAATGTGGGCTGAATGCTTCCCGAGTACAGAAAACATGGAGAAAATAATCTGCATTTTATATTACAGTGTGTGAGACAGCACTGATGTTACTTCCAAGAATGTGTGCAGGCCTACTAAGACATAATTGATACAGGCAGAGGCCCACTTAAAAATGTCTCTGATTGGGGCCTTTTTATAGATACAGCATGAGAAGAAGCTCATTTCTCACATTGCTCATCTCTTGTGAGGGAAGGCAACAAGTATTGAATTAGTTTGCATGAGAGGAGGGAAATTGAAATATGGATTGGGGTCGCAAATGCCTGCCAGTGCTATTGGCTGTTTCGGATATGGAGGATGAAATGTATTTTCTGCGTGTATGTGTGTGTCAGCGTGTGACTGAT